GAAAGGGGGTGTTTTGCTTTCACTTATGCTGCACCTGAAGGAATGCTCTAGAAAGGGCTTGGAAGAGATGTTGAACAAGCCATCTTCAGACTGTATCATGACCTCCTCCTCCTCCTTCTTCTTCTGCAGAGAAGTGGCTTTTATTATTATTTTAATAATTCTTTATTGTTGAAAGCATTACATATGTCCCTTCACACCTCCCCTCACCCCCGATTTATCCCCTCCAGGTTTCTCCTCCTTTTCCCCACCACAGGCGTTCAGCACCTTATTGTCTGTGTCTATTTTTTATACATATATACATACAAGTTCTTTGGTTGACTAGTTCCCATCTACCTACCCTCCCCTGCCTTCCTCCGAGATTCCATACTCTGTTCCATGCTTACATGTCTCTGGATCCACTCCATTCATCAGATTATTTTGGTACTTAGATTCCACATATGAGTGAGGTCATGTAATACTTGTCTTTCTCTGACTGACTTATTTCACTGGGCACGATACTCTCCAGGTTCCTCCATGCTGCTTCAAAGGGTAAGAGACCCTTCTTTTAATCTGCTGCAGTGTTCCATGGTATAAATGTACCACAGCTTTTTTATCCACTCCTCTACTGATGGGCAGTTGGGCTATTTCCAGATCTTAGCTATTATAATTTTGCTGTTATGAACATAGGAATGCATACATTCTTTCTGATTTGTGTTTGGGGTTTCTTATGATATATTCCCAGAAGCGGGATCACTGGGTCAAATGCAGTTCCACATTTAATTTTTTGAAGGAACTCCATACGGTTCTCTATAATGGTTGCCCTTCCCCTTGCCAGCTTGGTCACCCCTCACCGTCCCCTTGCTGGCTTGGTCACCCATCATTGCACCCCTGTGGCCTGGTAAACCCACGCAGCCTGCTGTTCAATCATTTGGCCATCCCTCATTAACCCACCCTGCTGCCAGGTCACCCCGTGCAGGCCTGGTCACCCCCAACTACCCCTCCTGCCAGCCTGAGAGCCCCTCACTGCCCACCCCCCCTGCTGGCCTGGATGCCTCATGCAGCCTGCTGTTTGGTCATTTGGTGGTCCCTCACTAACCCTCCTGCCAGACTGGCTGCTCCACGCAGCCTGCTCTTCAGTCATTTGGTTGTCCCTCGCAAACCCCTCTGCTGGCCTTTTCGCCCCATGCAGCCTGCTATTCAGTCGCGTGGTCATCCCTTACTGCCACCCCTTGCCAGCCTGGTCATCCTCAACTGCCCTCCACCACCAGCCTGGTTGCCCCTCACTATCCCTCCTGCTGGCCTGGTCCCCCAACACAGCCTGCTCTTTGGTCATTGCTGTGAGGGTGTCCTAACCAATTTGCACATTACTCCTTTATTATCGATAGTATAGATATGAACAAAACAGAAGTCCAAAGATTAAGTAATTTGTTCAAAGTCACCCAGCTTGAAACCAGGCCTGACTTCAAAGCCCAGCAATCTCATGGGATTCTGAAATCTGAGGACAAATGAATGCTAGTCAAAATGAACTGTTCAATTGATCAAAAGGGCATCTGAGAAAGTGTGTGAAGGGGTGGGAAGGGGGGAGGCAGCATGCAAATTAGTGGAATTCAGGAAAGCAATGCCTCCAGTGAAAAACTAAACAGTGAGATAAGGCTGCGGAATGCTCAACTAAACAGTGAGTTAAGGCAATCCACTGGGAACTGAATAAGCATCCACATGGAATGTCTGGACAGATGCAACACCAATTGGAATCTTGAGGTTCTAGCTCTGCTGGTCAGTTACTACTTCTAGAATCTGTTCCGTCATGTTATTTAAATACGGCAAAGTTGCCCAGGCCAGTGTGGCTCTCAGTTGAGCATCATCCAATGTTTCTCTCTCTCATTGATATTTCTCTCTTTCCTCTCTCTCTCTCTCTAAAAAAAATTAAAATAGAGTGAAATTTCTCATTACATTGTAGACATCATCAAAATAAGGCTCAAGAAGTCTGTAGAAAATAAAAATCAGATACTAAATGGTGTTTGAATGTTGAACTCTATCTGAAAACAAGGGAAGTCACTATGTAAAACTCAAATCCCTCCCAGAATCACTGTAAGACCTGTGTGTGCGCTTACCCAACCAACTCCTTCGGTGTCGCTTGAACTGTAGAGTGAGTGGCATCCCTTTCTGCCTAGGCTGGGGAAAGGGTGCCTGGATAATGGGCAGCAATCTGCACTAGTGTGTCCATCATAATTCTAGATTTTATAGTCTTCTCTCAAGCCCTCATCTCACCCAAGTCACTGTTTGGCTAACAAGAGTCTATATCATTGTAGAAATGTTAGTGGAAAACTTGAAGACATGACTGTGAGTTATCATTAAAGATGGCACACTAAATTTTGGTTGATCGCTTCTCTTTCTAAAAGAATAAAGGCTGGCACACACAATACTGATTTTACTGAAGAATGTAATAAAGTAAATTGAAGAGAAGAAAAACAGTAGAAAGATAAAGAACAGGAAAATACACCAAAATTATGAATAGAAATAATTTAAAGGAAGTATTCTACAACAGATGAAGAAATTTTTAATTTCTTTTCACATTAAACATTGTTTACCACAATCAACTAACAGAAATTACTGTAACAAAGGTCAAGATGACATAAAACTAAGGATAAATATTTGTTATGAGAAAACCTCATTTAATGTGAATGACAATGTGAGATACTATGTTTTTCATGACAGGATAAGATACAACTTATCTTGAAGAGAAAGCAAATAGTTCAGATCAAGGAGACATGCTGAGGTTTAATAGTGAAGAAAACTGAGCCTTGTCCAGAACACTTAAAGTCTAGGATAATTTATGTAAAAGAGGTGTGATAGATACCAAGCGCTGGGCAGAGTCACAGGCCCACAATTCAGGCTTTATTTACATTAGTGGGTCTATGCAGCTTTCACCTTTTGGTAAGTGAGCTGTTGTTTTGACAGAGGGACCTTCAGTAGTAGCCATGGCTATGACTAATCATATTTCAGACATCAGGCAGTCCAAGGACTATTTAAAGAGATAAGTGAGTATTTTTATGAATATACTATTAAGGCATCTATATTTTTGGTGTTTTCAGTATATAATTTTACTGTTGTTTTTTATTTTTTTTATTTGCACAACAATGATATTACATATTAAGTGACATAATTCTTTTTCTAATAATAAACAAGTTTATCCATTTTGCAAACTTTAAATTGAGGTCTTGTGAGAGGGAAATGAATAATGTGGGAGCACACAGGAAAATATATTAAAAACCAGTAGAGAATATTTTTAGCAATCGTAAAAATTCAATCACAATTAGCTGATAGTTTTTAACTATGGAAAAACAGAAAAGTAAATAGAATTAAACTAGATATTAAAAATAATTACCAGTAGTTTGTTTCACAAAAGAAGAAGAACCATACATGACTAAATTGCCCAATTAAGTAATTACCAGATTCTTCTTTAGTCAACACTAACAGAACTCACATTTGAGCTAGTCGACAAAGCATATAAATATTTAACATCTTTTGAATATAACATTTTAGTGATAACAGAGACTACATAATTCTAACCATTATTTTGACTGTGCTCAAATTAACCAGGTTAAATATCTAAAATACACTGTAAATAACTCTCAAAACTAACAAAAGAATAGTAATTAAACAAAATTTTAAAGATTAAGAAAGAAAAGTAGAAGACAAATAACATGAATGACAGCACTTAAACAATTATTAACCCAATCAAGACCTTTAAGAATGACTACCGAAATGCACTTTTTTATTTAGTTTACAGAAAGAATCTATAAGTACAGGTTGCAGAAAAAAATGTTTAGTGCTATTTACATTCATTTTTAAAACTCTGCTCTATACAAATTTAATTCTATCAGTATGAACAATATTTTCGTAGACCTACTGCATATAAAGCCTTTTCATCAATGCATTAACAATGAATAAAATAATCTGATTATCTTTAAAGCTGACAATCTGAAACCCTTTACACTTAATGTTTGTAAGGATCATGGACACTTAAATTTAAGTACAGAACATGTCAGCCTGCAACTTCATTTTATAAAGGCTAAAGTTATTAATATGGATTATTGTTCTATATACTACACGCCAATCTATATTTAAGTTCTGTAGTTATGTATTTTATAAGTTCTTTATTAAATATAATCTACACATATTTGTAATTTCATCTAGGAAGAAAATTTCTCCCCAGTGAAAAAATATAAAATCTTTTATATTTTTACATGTTTAGATGAAACTAGCTCATGCTTTAGTGCTGTGCAAATTGTTTTTAGCATATCCATTTTTAAATTATTGATTTAAAATGAAATAATTGATTTTAATACAATTGCAAGCACTGATACCAAATGAAAACTACATAAAGAAACAAGTCAGTTATTATGGAGAATTTTTAAATTTTAAGAATTCATCTGAACTCTCTAATGAGTAAGTCTGACACTGGACACAATTAAAGGTGAGCAAAAATTATGAAAAAATTCCATCTACTAATATTCAAATACATAAAATTGAACAGTAAATGAGGTTTTCTAATATTTCTGCCCAATCATGAAAGTCTATGAGTGATTAGAATTTACCCCTCCACATTAAGGCTAGGAAGCACACTCACCTCCTTTGTGCTGTGTGAACTAGCACTCGGTTACTTATGACTGAAGAGTGCACGTGTGAAAGGAAAACAATTTGCTCATCAGTTCACCACTGAGTGCTTCATACACCAGGCACATGTGTTTCTTCACTTTCTGCGGTGAAGATCGTCACACCCAGGTTAGTGTCCATGCCAATTCAGGCTGACTTGGGTAGAATTCACCCATTTTAGTTTCTTTTCCATTTCCCCCCCTCTCCAGTTGGCCCAGTAATTAACTACATTAACTGCTGAGTGTTTTCCAGTGTGGAATTGTATACATGAGTATTTCTAGATACAATAAAGTATACTATAAATTCTGCTGATGAAAAAAATGTCAAACTCTTTTAGTGCAAACTGTTTTGGAACAGTTGATTTGTTAATTCTGGTGATAAAATTTTTGTTGCAGCAGAAAGGCTTTTGCTATGAAAAGTAACTTGGTTAATTTTTCCCTTGGAGATTGACTGCATTCAAAAACCAGTATTTTAAAATTCCTCAACATAAACAAAAATATTAGGAATAGAAAATCATAGTGAAAAATGTTCTCGGTTCTTTTTACTTTCATGAGAGAATATGACAGTGTCATGTGATCACTCAGTTTCATGGCTTTACAGGCAGACTTTCTAAGGGTTTCTGAAGCAATGTTGGGTCTCTTTTGTCCCAGCAGCATGAAAGACAAGGACGACATTACATCACATTTAGCAGACAGTGTTTACAAGATTATACAACAATTACTCTCTCCAGTCTTCTCACGATTCCTCTGACCTGGAGAAAATGAAGAAAAGCCTCGTTTATAATAATGCTTCAAATGGAGGAAGGAGGAAGTGGGAAGAAAGGCACCCAACCCAAGAGTTATAATAGTGTTTTTTTAATGTTTGCATTTTTTTGCAATTAAAAAGCTATAATAAATGCTTTTAATTTTAGTCTATTTCCAGAATGTCTGGTTATTTGCTCAACACATTCTATTCATAAACTATGAAAACTTCCTTTCCCTAAGAATTCTTGTTCAAGAAAAACTGAGCCTTTAAAAAAAAAAAAATAAAATAAAAAAAAATAAATATATATATATATATTTATTTCTATTGATTTTAGAAAAGAAGGGAAAGGGATGGAGAGAGAGAAACATCAATGATGAAAGAAAACCATTGATCGGCTGCCTCCTGTATGCCCCCCAATGGGGGTCTGAGCCCGCCACCTAGGCATGTGCCCTTGGCAGAAATCGAACCCAGGACCCTTCAGTCTGCAGGCCGATGCTCTATCCACTGAACCAAACCAGCTAGGGCAAAACTGAGCCATTTTTGAATGCTTGTCTCTGTGGCTCAAGTGAGAACCTTCTCCAGTGCCTGGCTTACCTTGAGAGTTTGGCTCTGGCAATGTCTCTCTGGCCACCAAATGCATCACTGTTGTTTTGCCAAAAGGAAGTTTTAATGCTGTGTGAAAGTAGAAGACAATTTGTTACATATTCATCAACTTATCGAAATCACTAAACAGAACTGAAACCATTTAACACACTTTTTGGTTTTTGTATGACCTCCACAACAGGTTAAACTGAATCCTGGATAGAATATCTCTTAAAAAATGAAATTAGGTTAATATTACTGAAAACAATTTTTACAATTCAGAAGTTCAGATATGGCCATTAGCTTGATACATAAACCACACTGTTTAAGGAAGGTGACAAAAGAAAATGTATAACTGGTTAATATTGGGAATTACCTTTAGAAGAGAGAAGAAAAGGAATAAAAAAATTATTTGGAAGGCAGTGACTTGGTGATCTGGAAACAAGGCACAAGGGACAAGGTTACAGGGACAACACCAAGAAACAACATCTCACAGATAAGCTAAATTGGCATTCAAGAGCAAGGCTCAGAATTGAGGTTCAAGATGGTGGAGTAGGAAGATCCTAAGCTCACCTCCTTGCCCTGATATCAAAACTACAACAATATAAAGAATAGTTATCTTTGAGAATGACCTGAAGATTTTCTACAACTACAGATATAAAGAAAAAGCCACATTAAGAAGGGTAGGAGGGGCAGAGACTCAGTATAGTCAGGACTTACCCTATCCCCATTTGCAGTGTGCTGACCCACAAGTGGGAGGAATATCACAATTGTGATGTACCCCTCTGAAGAGGGAGAGGTTCTAGCTATAGGACCTGCACCAGGAAGAGGAGCCCACATAAAATATGAAAACCAGTGGGGCTTACTCCTAGGAGAGTCAAAGGGCTTTAGGAAATAGCACCAAGGTAGCAATTTGAAAAGTACCTGGGCCATATGTGAAGGTGATACACTGACTAATTTGAGGGCATGTGCTGAAGGGATAGGGATCTACTGAAACTTTCTCCAGGGACAAGAGTGCTGATGTGCACCATTTCCCCCCTTTTAAACTCTCTTTCCACCTAGCTGGCCTGATGCTAACAATGTGTCATTTCTGATATTCTCCTTTAACCTTGCTAAGAATGTTCATTCCACTCTGGTGTTTCCCTGAAGACTCATATAGCTGCCCTGCTACATCTGGTGAACAGCCTCAATCAGCATCAGCACAGTACAGTGTGTCTCCAGTAGTTGAAGCTGGGCCTTGAAGACATTCGCACCAAAAAAACTGTCCTGCACACCAGCATGCCCATAACAGTTGTGGCCAGGCCACAGCCAAGGGCCAGGGACCAGCCTCGCCTGCCAGTGGGTACTTAGCAGTTGGGGACCAACCACAACTGAAGGCGACACTAGTCACATCTCTGGAGCATCTGGCTCTGGTGACAAGAAAGGATTCCACCTCTGGGCCCCACAGTATACCTTTCTCAATAAGGTCACTTTTTCAAGGCCAGGAGATGTAACTCATCTACCCAATGCATAGAAACAGACAAAATGAAGAGACAAAAGCATATGATACAAACAAACAAAAAGGACATTACCCCAGAAACAGAACTACTAAAATGCATCACTGTTGTTTTGCATTACATAGTAGAAGCTATATACTAAAGAGTTCAAAGTAACAATCATAAAGATGCGCATCAAACTCTGCATATAAGTACAGAACTTCAACAAATACATAAAAATGATAAAAAACAAACAAACAAAAAACCTATCAGAACTGAAGACTATATCAACTGAAATGAAAAATACACTGAAGGGAATCAACAGCAGATCAGATGATGCAGAAAAATGTATCAACAATCAGGATAGTGGAAATCACCCAACTGGGAGATTTAAAAATAAGAATTAAAAAGAATAAGGATGGCATATGGGTCACCTGGGACAACATCAAGCATATTAACATTCATACCATATGAATCTCAGAGGGAGGGAAGAGAAAGGGACAGAAAACCTATGAGAAGAAACTGTGGCTGGAAACATCCCTAACCTTGTGAAGGAAAAGACATCAAAGTCCAGGAAGTACAGAGAGTTTCAAACAAAATGAACTCAGAGACTCACATCAAGACATCTTATAAATGAAATGTTAAAAGAGTTAAAGATAGCCTGGCCGATATGGCTCAGTGGTTGAGTGTTGATTTATGAACCAGGAGGTCATGGTTTGATTCCCAATCAGGGCACATGCTGGGGTTGTGGGCTCGATCCCCAGTATGGGGCCTGCAGGAGGCAGCTGATCAATGAGTCTCTCTTATCACTGATGTTTCTATCTCTCTCCCCCTTTCATTTCCTCTCTGAAATCAATAGAACTATATATTTTTTTAAATGTTAAAGATAAAGAGACTCTTAAAAGCAGTAAGAGAAACACAGTTATCTACAAGGAAGCTCTCCTAAGACTTATAGCTGATTTTTCAACAGAAAATTTGCAAGCCAGAAGGGAGTAGCATGATATATTAAACATGATAAAAGGGGAAAACCTACAACTAAGAATACTCTACCAGGCAAGGTTATCATTTGGAATTGAATGAGAAATAGTTTCTCAGACAAGCAAAAGTTAAAGGAGTTTACCACCACTAAACTAGCATTATACAAAATGTTAAAGAGAATTCTTCAAGCTTGAAAAATCCAAAACTAGAAACAAGAAAATATATAAAAGAAAGAAAATCTCACTAATAAAGGCAAACATGTAATAAAGGTAGTTGACGAACCTCTTATAAAGCAAGTATGAATACAAAATGGTAATAAGTACCTACCTAACAATAATTAACTTTAAATATAAATGGACTAAGTGCTCCATTAAAAAGATATAGGATGGATGAATGGATAAAAAAAGATGCACACATATGCTACCTATGAGAGACTCACTTCAGACACACACGAACTGAAAGTAGATGGAAAAATATATTCCATGCAAACGGAAATGAAAAGAAAGCTGGGTAGCTTTACTTAAAAAATAAGCACTGTAACAAAACACAAGGTTATGACATAATAATAAAGAGATCATCCAACTAGAGAAAGTAACACTTCGAGAAAGTAACACATAGGAGCACCTAAATATATACAGCAAAAATTAATAGACAAAAAGAGAGAGATTGGCAGTAATACAATAATAGTAGAGGACTAAAATATCCTATCTTCATCAATGGACAAATCATCCAGACAAAATCAACAAGGAAACATTAGACTAGATGGGCTTAATAGATATATACAGAACATTCTATTCCCAAACAGTAGAATACACATTCTTTTTAAATGAACATGAACATTCTCCAGGATAGATAAAATGTTAGCCCACAAACATGTCAATAAATTTAAAAAGACTGAAATCATATCAGGCTTCTTTTCTGACCACAATGACATGAAACCAGAAAAAGAGGAAAACTGAAAAGAACATATGTGAAGATCGAATATCATGCTACCAAAAAACCAATGGATCAATGAAGAAATCAAAGAGAAAATTTAAAAAATGTTTGAGCCAAAACCAGTTTGGCTCAGCGGTAGAGCGTCGGTCTGTGGACTGAAAGGTCCCAGGTTCGATTCCGGTCAAGGGCATGTACATTGGTTGTGGGCACATCCCCAGTAGGGGGTGTGCAAGAGGCAGCTGGTCGATATTTATCTCTCATCGACGTTTCTAGCTCTCTATTTCTCTCCCTTCCTCTCTGTAAAAAATGAATAAAATATATTTTTAAAAAATAAATAAAAAATAAAAAATTTTTGAGACAAATGGAAATGTTATAAAATGTATGGGATGGAACAAATGCCAATCTAAGGGTAAAGTTTACAGCAATATAGGCCTACCTCAAGAAACAAGAAAAATCTTTAACAATCTAATCTTATACTAAAGGAAGTAGAAAAAGAAGCAAACAAAGCCTTAAGTTAGTAGAAGGAAGGAAGTAATAAAGATCAGAGCAAAAGTAAATGAAATTGAAGTTGGAGACTTCACTTTGTGATTTCAAACTATACTACAAAGCTATAGTAATCTAAACTGTATGGTAATAGCCACAAAACCAGATATATAGGTCATGGAACAGAATAAAGTGCATAGAAAGAAAACTATGCTTATATAGTCAATTAAATTTACAACAAAGGAGGCAAGAATATACAATGGAGAAAAGTTGTCAATAAGTGGTGGTGGGAAAACTGGATAGCTACAAGAAAAAGAATTAAACAGGACCACTTTGTTACACTATATATATATAAAAAAAAATCAATACAAAATGGTTTAAAGATTTGATTTAATACCTGAAACCATAAAACTCCTAGAAGAAAACAAACTCTTTGACATTGGTCTTAGAAATACATTTTTGGATGTGTCTCCTGAGGCAAGGGCATCAAAATGAGAAAATAAATAAATGGGGTTATATTAAAGGAAAAGCTTTTGCACAGCAAAGAAAACTATGAATAAAATAAACCATTTGCAACAACATGGATGGAGATGGAGAGCATTATGCTAAGTGAAATAGCCAGTCAGAGAAATATAAATATCACATGATATCACTCATTTGTGGAATATAATGAACAACATAAACTGATGAACAAAAATAGATCCAGAGACAGAAAAATATCGATCAGAATGTCAAATCTCAGGAAAGGTAGGGGACAGTGGGGATAAGGGGGAGAGATCAACAAAAGGACTTATATGCATGCATATAAGTCTAATCAATGGACAAGACAACAGAGGGGGTGGGGACAGGAATGAGAGGTGGAGGATAATGGGGGAATAAGGACACATATGTATTACCTTAATCAGTAAAGAAATAAAAAAAAAAAAAGAACATATTATTCAATTACCAAAATATTAAGGATCTTTAGACAATCGCAATGGATCTTATTATTTCTTAGTACTTACATATTGTCACTTGAAGGTACTGTAGTTTTACTGAAAGAAATCTGATTAAAATTTGAAATTCAATAAAGTAAAATATATTTTTATGAAAAAAATGCAACTTATTGAATGGGAGAAAATATTTTCAAATGATATGCCTAATAAGGAGTTAACATCCCAAATATATAAAAAACTTATAAAACTCAGCATTAAAAAATAATCCATTTTAAAAATGGGCAGAAAACCTGAGAAGGCACTTTTTCAAAGACACACAGATGGCTAACAAACAAGTGAAAAGATGCTCAACATCACTAAATATCAGGGAAATAAAAATAAAAACCATAATGAGATATCATCACACACCTTGTCAGAATGACTGTCATCAAAAAGACAAGAAATAACAAGTGTTGGCAAGGATGTGGATAAAAGGGACCCTTAAAGTACTGTTGGTGGGACTGTAAATTGGTGTAGCCACTATGAAAAACAGTATAGGGTTACATAAAACATCAAGTTTCATGGTATGTTCCTTTGTTATTCAGTGTATAGACTTAGAAGATCCAGCATATCTAACTTCTAGAGTTATTTCCATCATTGTGACCTCTGAGTTCTGACATCCCAAGCTACTTGCTCTTCACTAATTACAAATAGGAGGTAGGCTTAGACCATTACTTAGAAAGTATTCTATCCTCCTGTTTGCTATCTGTCTTTTAAATCCTGCTCTGTAGGACGATATTTAATTTGTGGATTAAGAGTCACAATTATCTTCAATCTTAATATTTCATGTAATCAAGGTGAGTTTCCACCTTATTTAAAATTAGCCAGCCATTATTTGGTCTATTCTCTTAACTTCTGAAATTCAAATGAAGCATGATGGCCCATAAATACACATGATAATGGAAAAAAGAAGGCCTTTTTTGGATATTCTCCTAAACCTGACTTAACATTAAGATGCAAATAAGATGTCATATTATTAAAAATTTCACTAAATGTATTGGGAAAGACTGACTTAATTTAATATGCACACATGCCCAGTTGTATATCACTGTCATATCATCTTGTAAACTCTAGTATGCCAAGACCTGAGGTAAAAATCACACCTCTGCTACTCACCAACTGTGTGAAAGGAATTGTGTGTAATATATTGAGCTCCCCTCCCCAAGCCTCAATTTCCTCCACCTAAATTGGAAATAGTAATTCTATCACCTGCCCCTTAATGGTTCTATTGATTAAATTAAACAATCCAAGGAAAGTACTTGGTTCGGGGTTTGGCACAAAAAACAACAATCAGTATGTGTTACCATGGCCATCATTAATTTCAACTTTTTGAGAAACCTGGATCTCAGGAAAGAGGGCAGAGAACTGAGATGGCAATTTACAGAAGTGTTGGACAGGCCTGGAAAGCTGCTGAGAAGGTGGCCATTTGAAGCTAAAACTTGGATTGAGGAGGCTATGGTTCTTCTCCATTTTACTTTTGACTAGAAAGAATAGGTACTGATACTAATAGCATCAAAGAAGCTAAAGGAAGAGGGTACAAGGATCCAAAATGTTTCTATTTCCTTCACTGCGGATGCTTCTTCTTTCTGCTATGAAACTGCAATATCCAGAACAGAGGCTTTCAACCTTCACATGAACATCACCCAGGACTTCAATTCAGTAGAAGATGGGAGATGGGGGAAGGAAGAGAGGACATGCAGAAACATGTTTGTTAAGAGTATCCAAGGGAGTTTTAAGCTCACCAGCTCATCCACATTTTGGGAAACACTGATCTGGAATGTATTGAAAGTCAAACCTGTAGCTGACCTTCTTTATCCCCAATTAGTAAGGCTGTTATCACACCTTTTTTTTTTTTTTTTTTTTTTGTAGATTGAAATTCTATGTAACTGAGAACAAAAAAAGGGGTCCGGGGCTATGTTTTAAGAAACTTGCTAGCAAAAATTTAAATCTGAAACTTAAACCACAAAATCTCAACAGTGGCAGAGAATGCCCAGGTCTCCTGGTTTAACATAATGACTGACCCTCCCCATGGCTGTATTCACCCACTACTTGAATGTCTTTAGGCAGCGCCACTGTTCAAATATTCTCTTTGGCAGTGAATAGAAAGCTGTCTGCCTTTGACTTCCAGCTGTTGGTCCAACATCTAAATCACCAGGCTAGAGAGCAAGTCACAAGCTGAAGTCTTCCTTCCCTACACTTGCCATTAGAATATGGAAGACAGTTGCTATGACTCTATGTGCTGTCTTCTTCATTATCCACATTCAAGGACAAAGAAGACTAAAAAGAAAAGTTGCAACCAAAAAACCAAATAGTTGAATATTACTCAACCTTTCTCAAACACCCAGAAATACTGACCAAGTTGAAGGGTCAAGGTTATGCTCCTATGCTATTTGCCTAAATCATTAAAGCCAGAGATGGTTTATTTTGTTTTTGAAAACACTAGCAGCACCACAGTATTGACAATAATAACAGTGAGTCGGCTGTTAATTATTAAAAAAATTTCCAAAAAATATTGGTAAAAATTTAGTCTTACGTGGGAATTAATCAATAGTTTGATTTTAACACGAACTCCACAATCTTTAATATGAAGTTGGAATTGTGGGGCAAAGAAAAAAATAAAGAATTCAGTTGGTGGGAAATTGCTCACAAAGGGAAACCGAGACTCAGGATTTATTTATGTAGTCAAGAAATTAACTTCACTCAACATTTACCCATCAACAGTACAAGAACTTATGTGAGACACAGACACTCAAAAAGAAACTAAAACATGGTCCCATCCTTAATGAATGTCCAATCAGCCAGGGAGCGAATAGTCAATTCTTACACTAAGAGTTGGTCCATGTAACTGCCCAAAGAGCTATAAAAAGAACTACAAGCCAAAACAATTGTATTTGAAATAGCAGATATCTCTTAGTAGGTAGCAGCAACCCCAACTGAAATGTGGTTATTTGTGAATATATATCTTGAAATGTTCTACCTACTTGATATTATTATATTCATCATTTGCACATAGCTACTCTAGCCTTGATCACACAGTATTTTAAAAGTGGATTTTTATCTGTTCCTATGTATTACTAGAGCACCTTGAAGGAAGAGATTCTCTCTTATTTACCCTTCAATTGGTTAGTACAGTTTTGGCACATAGGAATTAGTACATGCTGAAGAAAAATGAAAATATTCTATCTTCAAGGAAAAACAAATGAAACATTTCATGTTAGTTTTAGAGAAAAAAGTCAGATTGTAATTTAAACAAAGATATATTAAAGTAGATCAGCAGTCACCAACCTTTCAGACCTCCATGAACCAATGGTTGGCAACCGCTGAAGTAGATTATTCATTGGCCTAAAAATTTCTAATCATCAGAATATTTTTGAAATACATGTACTAAAAACAAAACAAACCCTAATGATGGTAGAAAATGTACCCATAAGGGGGCACCATTGAGCTACATTTCTCCAGTCACACGTAAAGAATAGTAATTACTAACAAGTGTTTATTAAGTGCCGAACACTGTTCTAAAAGCTTTGCACTAAAATCTAACCCTCCCAAACCTAGGAGGTAGGTGCTATGGCTATTCCATTTTACTATGCAGAAACTGGGACACAAAGCAGTTAAGTCAGTTGCCAAGGTTACATAGCCGGTGAGCAGTGGAGCCAGGGTGCATCGTGGACTGTCTGGCTCTAAAATCTGCTCTTTCAGCCACTATATGACACTTCTCTAATGTTACTCATTATTCTCACATGAATGGCCATTACAACAGTTAAAGTCAAACTGAAAACATTCCTTCATCATTATATTTGAAAACCAATTATAAATGTTTCTTAGTTTGTCTGACTTTAACTTTAAATATTATATTTAAATTATATTATCCAGAAGTAAATAAAATTATATTTGTAAAATAGGTAAGAATAGAGTTTATTTCACAAGGTAGTAAACATTATAATGCTAAAATTAAATGTAACAAAATGCAAAATATAAAGAAGTGGACATAAAAAACTAGGCAGAATTCACATTAAGTTTGAAGTTAAAATTTTTTAGTAAAATCACACATTATCATTAAATAAACAAATGGATAATGATGCCATGAGACAGACATTAAATCCCATTAGAAAGGTGAACTATTACCTCCTAATGTGACATTTCCATGTAGAAATCGTCCTTGATAAATAAGTCGTAGAATATTTGGGCTGCTGACCTGCTCTTCTTCCCAGTCTGAAAAGAACCAGTGAACTTGTTAAGTATTTCAACACAAAATTAAAATTCTACTGCATTATTCTAAACTTCTGATCAAATCAAATAGGATACATCAAGGAAGACACTTGGAGCTTCCACTTCAGTAAAAGCAGGCACTACTCATGTAATCACTGTGGTCTCGGTTCTTGCTAGTTCTTTGCCTTAAATAGTCAGAGCTGCAGAAAGACTGGTTTTTGCTTTTTAAGAACACTAACATGTGCCAAAATAGAGTCCTGAAGTTTAAAAATTAAAAAAAAAAAACAAGTAAAAAATCTAATCCCAGGTGAAGAGAAACACCATTTGAAAATTAATTTCAATTACCAGTAATTAACAGAGGATATTTTAATATTCTAATATTTGTACCTGTTAAAATATATGAAGCTAGAAACAATATTTCACATAGATTTTGAAAAGAATTAATATATTGCTATAGAGAATAACAAAAAATTAAATCTCACTAAAACTGGAGAACAATATTAAAAGAGAATCACAAAAAAATTGTATTTACTTTGGACAATGGTGACTAATTATTACTTTATTGTCTTTTTTAAGCCATTTGATAAATATTACAGAAGACACAACTTTAATTCACTTTACCCAAAATACTTAAGAGAAACTTGAAAATAAACAAACACATCCCATTTATTAGAAGATATGATGGAAAGTAGGAAAGTGCATAAAGAAAAGTCAAAAGACAAATTGGTGGGCAGGATGAATAATATCGATAGAATAGTTCATTTTAGTGTGTAACTTATGAAACACTACATGTTAACATGGTATAAGGACACTGACATGTGATAGGGTATAGGGTTAGTAACTTTCTCTAGCTTGTGGATATAATTAAGCTCTGATTTTTAGAGATCTGAAATTTCCATCATCTCTCTCAACAATTCTAGTATAATGTGTTTGTTTCTTACAGAAGATCCTATTATGAGATGATAACTCTCAACACGTACATTAGTTTAAAATATCCCCAAGAGTCTAGCCAGTGAGATTCAGTGACCTATGCAGCAGGAGGTCACTGGTTGACTCCAGGTCAGGGCATATTCCCTGGGTTACAGGTTTGATCCCCAGTAGGGGCATGCAGGAGGCAGCTTATCAATGATTCTCATTGATAAGCTGCCTCATCACTGATGTTTCTATCCTTCTCTCCTTCCTCTTTCCTTTCTGAAATCAATAAAGTTATCTTTTTAAAAAAATCCTGAGGAGGAAGTGATAACAGAGAATGGGGCTAAGTAGAGTACTTTCTTGTTGCCATTTTTGTATGCAGGCAAAATAATGAATATGAATTTGATAAAACCAGTGCCTCTCAGTGACTCACAACAAACTGGGTAGTGAAAAAATGAATGTAATTTCTCCAGCCTTCCTTTCCCCTCTCCCCCTTCCCCTAGCCTTTCTTTCAGTAGCTCTTCCCTCCCCCAGGCATGCCTTCACTCCTTCTGACTCTAGAGTTCCTAGATGCCTCATCTTCTAGAAGAAAGGTCAAATAAGCCTTGAACACTTTTGTATGGATTACTCTGAATCCATCACACCCAAAATTATTGTTTATTAGAATATATATGGTCAAGATGTAAATAGAGATAGAGAAGATAAATTACAGCAAATGTCCAATTCACAGGAAAACATATTCTAAAAATATTTAAAGTATTTTTGTGCTGCAAAAACTTGAAGCCACATATTTATCTTTTTGTTTTAATATATTTTTATTGTTGAAAGTATTACAGATATCTCCCATTTTCCCCTATTCTCAACTCTTCCCAGCTTCTATCCAGCCCCCGCCCCCCATTTCATTATCTTACACAGTGTCCTGATTTCTGCATACACCACTGATTTAATATGCTAATTCCCTTCCCTCTCAGAGGATTTGAAATTTAGAGAACTGAAAAACAAAGCTTCAAGGAGCAATTTCAGCTATAGAAACATATTTTAGTAAATTATATTTTGAATCTCTGATTCAGTAACAGCTATGTGTGGCACTATCCAACTATTAACAATATTCCACTACACTGCATAGGATTATACCAAGAAAACCCAATTCCTTCCAAAAATACATTGTGCAAAATATTTTCTTGATTTCATTTTTACTACAGTTTTATTACTAGCATCAATAAATATTTACATTTGTTGATTTTTGGTGCATTATTTATTACAATGTAGAAATGGATTTTTAACAAATATTTTATAGAAATAAAAATTATTTTTATTCCCTACATTGTCTAAAATTGCTGAGTATAACTGACAAACTAAGAAAAGGTCGGGTTCAAAACTTTTGCCCTGACTGGTGTGGCTCAGTTGGTTAGGCATTGTCCCATGCACTGAAAAGTTATTGGTTCAATTTCTGGTCAGGGCACATGCCATGGTTGCAGGCTTGATCTTGGGTAGGAGGCATGTGGGAGGTAGCCAATCTATGTTTTGCTCTCACACAGATGTTTCTCACTCTCTTCCTCCCCCTTCCTCTTCTAAAAAAAAAAAAAAATTTTTTTTCAAAAACTTTTTTTATGTACATACCACAGGATTGATATTATAAATTTCCAATGTTGTAGATGGTTCATTCATTTAGGAAACTACTCATGGCAAAGACCTGCCCTTGGGTTGTTCCTTTGTTTACCATTAGTCAGTACATTCTAAGGAATTAAAACTAATTTTAATATCCAAATCAAATAATTATGAAGGTAAAAGTACTTCTTTTAGCTCAAATTACAATGTTGCCCTCAAAAAATTTTTGAGACTGATTATTTGTTTTTTTGTCTTGTTTGGTCTTTTCTATAATATCCACATATGTCATCTTTACCCTCCTTTTCCTTCAAAATCATAAAAGTAATGTTGTTATTAAAACATCACTAATAAACAAGTATTTAAAAATGCTTTTCATTCCTGCCTGGCTCCTGGCAATGAAGAAATGCCAATATCCTAAGAGCCCCAAGGTTAGCCCACTTCATCTTTTCTGAAATTCCTTCTACCTATAACCTTTAGCTTTAGTAGCTCCCTGATTCAGGACTAATTGACTTGACCCTTGGTTACCAATGGGAAGAAAGATCTAGTTATTTAAAAGTATAATATTTGTCTCAGTGTTTTTTAAACTCAGATCTATGAATCCACAAAGACATATTCTTAGGATCTGAAAGTCCTCTTCAAGAATTTTTAAATTGTGTTTTCATTTTAATGATAATCTGGAAGAAATATTCTATATAATTCAAATAATTACTTTATAACCAAGTATACAGCCTTGATATTTTAAAACCATGTATATGTTTAAGTTCATGATTGAACTCTTGCCAAGTAGGACTTAACTTCAATTGCTAAGGAGCTAACAATGAAATAGCAGAGGTTGACTTAATACATAATCAATCAATTGTTGCTGAGTGAAGGCTGAATGACAATTTGGTACACTGTGTAAATGAAGGTTTTGTGATGACTGGGTCCTCAATCCTCAAGCAAGAACACATGCATGCCAACACAACAGTACCATACTTATGGTGTCAGCCTTAAGTTGGTTTTTACAAAAGTACATCACAGTAATGTTGTTAATTTGAATATTATTGGGTTTAGAGTTATTTCTGCATTTTCCTCGTGGATCTATTTTAGTTAAATATATGAGTTAATAAGGATAAAGAGTTTTAATTGGGTTTCATGTTTCTATTTTAAAAAATAAACATTGTGATAAAAATAATTTAAGTCAGCACTAAGGAATCTATAAGGATTTCTTCCTCTATAGGAATTTCACATATTATTATTTTTTAAAAATATATATTTTATTGCCGAAACCGGTTTGGCTCAATGGATAGAGCATCGGCTTGGGGACTGAAGGGTCCCGGGTTCGATTCTGGTCAAGGGCATGTACCTTGGTTGCGGGCATATCCCCGGTAGGGGGTGTGCAAGAGGCAGCTGATCGATGACTCTCTCTCATCGATGTTTCTAACTCTCTATTTCTCTCCCTTCCTCTCTGTACAAAATCAATAAAATATATTTAAAATATATATATATATTTTATTGAATTTAAAAAAATATATATTTTATTGATTTTTTTTATAGAGAGAAAGAGAGAGGAATAGAGAGTTAGAAGCATCGATGAGAAACATCGATAAACTGCCTCTTGCACACCCCTACTGAGGATATGCCCACAACTAAGGTACATGTCCTTGACCGGAATCGAACCTGGGACCTTTCAGTCCTCAGGCCAACGCTCTATCCACTGAGCCAAACTGGTTTCGGCATTAATACCTTGACCAGAATCGAACCTGGGACCCTTCAGTCCGAAGACTGACATTCTATCCACTGAGCCAAACCGGTTTCGGCTCCATATATTATTTAAGGTTGAGATACACTGATATAATTTAGTCATTTGTATGTACTGTGTTCTTTGTTGAAATAAGTCTTGTCCTTTAAAACTACCAATTGCTTTGGCTAGTAAAATTTAGTGAAATCAGCTAAAACAGTCATATCACTATGGTTCATCCCACAAAAGGATCAAGAGAACATGGGGACAGGAAGAACATAAGCTAAAGACTCACATTAGAAAGGCAACAACGGAGTCTTATTACACAGAAAACCAGAGAAAGGGAGGAATGCCACCCCCCCAATTTTGGTGTCATGGAAACTAGCTTAAATACGCAAAACACAAATGGACTTAATACTTTCTTTATAAATATATATATATATATTTATTTTATTTTATTTATTTTTACATATTTTATTGATTTTTTTTGCCCCCCTCCCTCCCCAGAGTTTTATGTCCATTGGTTGTACTTATATGCATGTATATATTTTTATTGATTTTTTTTTTTTTTTTTTTTTTTTTTTTTTTTTTTTTTTTTTTACAGAGAGGAAGAGAGAGGAATAGAGAGTTAGAAGCATCGATGAGAGAGAAACATCAATAAGGTGCCTCTTGCACACCCCTACTGGGGATGTGCCCACAACTAAGGTACAAGTCCTTGTCCGGAATCCAACCTGGGACCTTTCAGTTCTCAGGCCAATGATCTATCCACTGAGCCAAACCGGTTTCGGCATTAATACCTTCATATGTTCAAAAAACATATGAAGTGACATGAATTAGAAATTAACTTTGTGTTAAACTCAATTTTAAATAGGCTATGTGTATTATAGACCAAAGAGAATGTATTATAATCTGTTAAGGTAGTTTTTCTTTCCCTTTACGTTATGTCTTAGCATAAATGAAAGTGTATGTTTGCTACATTGTGTTTTACTTTTACAAAATAGTTTTTATTTACATCGAGCAGTTCTAAGTCAAAAACAGGGTCTTGGCATTATGGCTCCTTTACCATTTTGCAGTAAGGTAGCTTTACATTTACAGTGGTCCCCTTTACCTTTAACCCTTATACCCTCAATTAGTTTGTTCTTTTATTTCTTATATATGTAAAACTAAATCAAAATGTTTGTGAAATAAGGTAAGGGCATGGAGAAGTAACATTATTCATTCTCAATAGGAAAAAACACTCACCCATTGGCCAATTGTCATACACATGCTTGGCAATGTCAGAAGCAGAGTCATTTGGAGAAAACAGGAACTCTTTTGTCTTTCCGCTAACCAAGATGAGGCGCAAATTGATCTGAGAAAAGACAATGATGCTCTTAATATAAACCTTGAAATTTTAAAGTATAAATAACTCAGTGTTTTTTTTATTTCAATCACATTCTAAATTATTATATCAATTTCTTATTTTTATTTAACTTAAGCTCTGCAAACATTTTTTAGAGAATGGGAATTTGATATATAATTATTTATATACTAGAGGCCAGGTGCACAAAATTTGTGCATGGGGGTATGTGTTCCTCAGCCCAGCCTCCAATCTGAGACCTCTTGAGGGATGTCCAGCTGCCTGTTTAGTAGGATCAGGCCTAAACGGGCAGCCAGACATCCCTCTCACAATCCAGGAATGCTAGCTTCCAACTGCTCACCTGCCTGACTTCCTAATTGCCTCTAACCGCTTCTGCCTGCCAGCTTGATCACCCCCTAACCACTCCCCTGACAGCCTGATTAATGCCTCACTGATGCCCTGCGGTCTGACTGCCCTTAGCTGCCCACCCCTGCAGGCCTGGTCACTCTTAACTGCCCACCCCTGCAGGCCAGCTCACCCCTAACTGCCCTCCCCTGCATGCGTGGTCCCCCCCAACTGCCCTCCCTTGCAGGCCTGGTTCCTCCCAACTGCTCTCCCCTGAAGGCTGGATCACCTCCAACTGCCCTCCCTTATAGGCTTAATAGCATCCAACTGCCCTCCCTGGCAGACTGATCCCTCCCAACTGCCCTCCCCTGCTGGCCATCTTGTGGTGGCCATCTTGTGACCACATGGGGGCAGGATCTTTGACCACATGGGTGCAGCCATCTTGTGTGTTGGAGTGATGGTCAATTTGCATATTACTCTTTTATTAAATAGGATAGAGGCCTGGTGCACAGGTGGGGGTCGGCTGGTTTGCTCTGAAGGGTGACCCAGATCAAAGTGGGGGTTCCCTTGAGGTGTGGGGTGGCCTGGGCGAGGGGCCAGTGGTGGTTTGCAGGCTGGCCATGCAACCCAAGCAGAGGCCCTGGCATCTGGGATTTATTTATCTTCTATAATGGAAACTTTGTAGCCTTGAGCAGAGGCCAGGGCCGGCCAGAGCAGGCAGAAACCTTGGCTTCCTTCTTGCTCTGTGGATGGCTTGCTCTAAGAATGTGAATTTGCATATTCACTCCTGATTGGCTGGTGAGTGTGGCTTGTAGGTGTAGTGGATGGTTATTTTGAAAGTTTTGCTTTTATTAGTGTAGCTATATAAAACATTATATATATATATTATATATATATATATATATATATATATATATATTCCTAACTAGAAGCCTGGTGTACAAATTCATGCACCACGGTGGTCCCTCAGCCTGGCTTGTGGGATAGGGGCCAAAACCGGCTCTCTGACATTCCCTAAGGGGTCCCCATTGGTGCACAGGCCAGGCCAAGGGACCCCACTGGTGCACGATCGGGGCCAGGGAAGGATGCAGCAGGTTGGCCAGCCAGGAAGGGACTGCAGGAGTGCTCCAGGGCATATCCAGCCCATCTGGCTCAGTCCTGATTGGCTGGACCACAGGAGCAAGCTAATCTACCAGTCCGAGTATCTGCCCCCTGGTGCTCAGTGCATGTCATAGTGGCTGGTTGATCAGTCAACTGCCCCCTTGTGGTCAGTGCACATCATAGCGACTGGTTGACCAATCAACTGTCTGTCCCCTAATGGTCAGTGCACATCATAGCAAGTGGTAGAGCAACCTTAGCATATCAATAGCATACTACTAGAGGCCCTGTGAACAAAATTTGTGCGCAGGAAAGAGGGCCCTCAGCCTAGCCTGCACCTTCTCCATTCTGGGAACCCTTGGGGGATGTCTGACTGCCGGTTTAGTCTCTAAATAATGGTAACCCTCCTGACTTACTGTTTTTGCTAAATTCTCCTGTTGCCCAGGCATGCAGGCTTGGAAGCTCAGAGTCATAATTTACTTTTCTCATCTCCTCTTCATCACTTACTAAATTTTTAAAATCCCCTCTTCCTCATCCCAATCCATTCTGCAAATTCCAAACACTTTCAACAGTTTAAAATTCTGTCAGTGTGCCACAGGTAATTAACACAGTACTTTCTAAGAGGACACAATTAATTGTACAACCTTATGAGATAGGTACTGCTATCTCCATGTTGTTGATGGCAAACTGAGACACTAAGTTTAAGTAACTTATGAAGATCATGTAGTTCATAACCCAAACTTCTCAGCCCAAGCCAACTACTAATATTTCCCTACCCAAATTTCTAAACCATCCAAATTGATATATTCATTATATATGAATATACTTATATCCTGGCAAAAATCAAAAGAAGGATTTTCCTCACTGAAGTTCTAATGCCTCTTTGAAGCCTATGTGACCACTCTGGCCTACATCGCTCATTCTTCCCTCAGAATTCCTACCCAATCACAGGGGAGGATCAGGGAGACCCTATGTGTCTATGTTTGCCTGGGACATTTCTGATTTATACTTGCTTTCTCACTATTATGAACAGGGCCCTCAAAAGTATTTCAATCTCGACAATAAATTATAAGGCCATTCTACACATATTATAGCATTTTATTGAAGCAACAGACAGTTTACGTATGTTTCTTAACTCTGCAATTAAATAATGCACTTTGATGGGTGGAAAATCAATCTTAAGACTCCTTTAATACTTCTCTTCTTTCAGAAATTGATAACTTATAACAAACAGCACAGTTTCTTGCATGTGTGGCTATAGACTGGTTTTGGAAATGACATGCCTTTGGCTGAGTTTTGTTTCCTAATTAAAACCTGCTTTTAGATTAAAAAAAAAAAATAACACCAGTATACATTTTAAATTAATCATATAGTTACCCATGCTTGAAAAATAGCAGGTATTTAACATACTGGAAGATGAATGAATAATGTACCAGAATATTTCAGACTGTAGTCAACATTCCTAAAATATTTCAATAATGTAAAGGTAATAGAATACTTTAAGTACAACGAGGAAGTGATTCTACCAATAATTACCATGATAACATACACTGTAACATGTTTTACTGTTATACAAAGTGGGTGATGACACATTATTTCCCACACACAACTATTCTGGAATACAGGCACTAAAACAGACTACAGGATAATAATGAAAATCAGCTGACCTGAAGAAGGGAAAAAAAAATCATCCTATTCTTTACCATACTCGTCAGTCCACTCATTATTCCAAAGTGATAGCAAGCTCTCCTAGTTAAGAAGAATACACTCTGTCTGACTATGAAGAAAACAATTGTTTAGGCTGCCTGTGTTCTGCAGTCCTATTCAGCTTGCACAGGCAATCTGCATCAACCTGTGACTATGGATATTGTCTTTAGTGATGTCCCAGATAGCTATGACCTCATGTGTTCTTAAGATTGAGGTTCTCATTTATAAATCAATATCTCTTGAATATTCATGAATTCACACTTGAATGGAATTGTATTATATTAATTATTGTTTATTAAATAGTATATAATAAATAATCTATCAGCTTACTTAGGATCAGCATGACAAATTATTCAGAGGCAGAGCTCTGTACAAGCAGAAATAAGATGGGCAAATGTAACAAATGTATCAGCATCAGTATGTAATATTAAATACAATTACCAGTAAAAGAGCATAAAATCCTGCAACTTTGCAGCACATACTATCTAAGCTAAGAATGTTAATTAATATAATCACTGGTGCTATTCATTTTAAGAAAACACTGACTGCTCATAAAAAGTGGTTATAGAATATAAATCCATAAGCACAAAACCTTTTATTATAATACAGAAAGCAAACATCAGAAATAAAGAGAACCACAGAGTAGTAAAGTATAAATTAAAACTAAAAGTAAAAATTTGACAAAGAAATTGTTAAGCAGAAAAACAGATGAACTTCTGGGAAAAAGTAAATGATTAACAAACAGCAAAAAGATGGAATATTTATAAACAGGAAATATTGTTATGAGCAGATTAGACAATTATCTAAAGACATGGACATGAAAAGAGCAGAATGCATCATTACAAGAGAATCAATTCAGGAAATAAAGAATCTTCACACTGAATTAGAAAATACCACATTATTCTTTTTGCATATTTAGACTTAGCTTTTGAGCTAAAGAAAAATTATCTCAAGTTATAAAGAAACCAGAAAACAATTGGAAATCCAAGTAAATTTATTCAGGTCAGTTATGTATGACAATCCTTTGATTTGGACTATATGCTGAACAATATGCTAATTTTTAAAAAATATATTTTATTGATTTTTTTACAGAGAGGAAGGGAGAGAGATAGAGAGCTAGAAAAGTCGGTGAGAGAGAAACATCGACCAGTTGCCTCTTGCACACCCCCTACAGCAATCAAGGTACATGCCCCCTACCAGAATCGAACCCGGGACTTTTCAGTCCGCAGACCAAACCGGTTTCGGCCAATGTGCTAATTTTTAATCAATGAAATAGCCTACATTTGTGTCTATTAACACAACTGCAACAATATGCGAAGAATTTCAAAAATTGCTGTTATATCAATAATAATTCAGAATAACACCAAAAAGCAGATATAAAAGTCAGACAAAGGTATGAGTTTCTGGACCTCTCATTAAAATAATTAGATTTTTATTTTCTGAAAGCATGACTACAGCATAAAATGTTTTCTTAAGGAATATAGTAAAATTATTTTCCCCCAGTTTCTTCAAAAGCAACTCAACAATGGTAAAGGAATATGTAATAGCTCTATACAAATACGTATATGGACATACCAATGTGTATGACCTTTTGTGGCCTATTTTATTCTTTTCCAGGTGGAAACCCAGGTAAACGTTAATTTAATTTAGAAAATTAATAATGATTCTAGAAATTAGTAGAAGATAATGAAGAAAATGGATTATTCAACAAGTGAGGCTGCTAGTGATGATTTTAAATGGTATTTTGATCATAACTATTTTTCTATAGCCAGAGTTACCAGGTTTTGTTAATATTTTTCCTTCTGTCTCTATTCTCCCCACAACCATATTCATCTGTCAATATCCTAATTTAGACCCTTATC